GTGTTTTTTAAATTCCAAGGCATGCTGTACACTGTAGTTGCCAAGAGCCAATCTAGGGAGGCGTGCTTCTTGAGCCTGAGACCTGGGGCTGTGCTGGGGCTGTGGCCGTGCTGAGAAAGAGCACGTCTCTGCCTCTGGAACCTGGAGCTGCTGGTTGCTCAACTGCAGCTGGTGAGTGGAGCAGAGAGTGCTAGCACCTGGTGTTTTAAGGAGACCCTTTCAGGCTTTGCTAGCTACAGACAAGGTTTTAAAACGATAGAAAAATCCCTGACTCGGTGATCTTAACTTCTTTTTCAAGCAGTGCATTTCAAAAAGCAGCTTAGAATGCTCTTCAAAATGAGAACTCGGTGGAATACAGAAATCACGGCGTTAGGTGTCCATCAGGCTAGTCTGACATTGGCCAGCTGCTAATACTACTACTTTGAGGCAATGGAGGAATTGCACAGAAAGTGGGTCCAGTTTAATCTTACCACCAGGCAAGTATTTCTCTTTGAGAAGTATTTTCAACTCTGAGCAGAACCAGAAGAGGGCTTTTTACATATCCACTTAGCAAGACTAGAAAAAGTGATTTGAAAGATGGATGCAGCAGGTAAATTGCTGCTATTAACCACTGGCAGTGCCCCAGAATTTGAGTTATCCAGGCAGCAGTTCTCTGTGATGACTAAATGTAAAATGAAGAGTAAGGTATCCAGATCAAAAGCTCCATGCTACTGGGGAGGTGGGAAGAGGAGAATGGATCTTGTTGGTCTCAGAGATTCCCATATTCCCTTTTGCATTTCAGCGCAGCTGCTGTTGGCAGTGGTGTGACCATGAACCAGTGTAGTGGTTGGTTGCTGTTGTCATAGGGCCAAGCTATGAAAACATGCTGCCCTGAATAGTGGCCTTGAAACACCAAGTCTTAACCCATTTTGGGGAGGGTAGAGTGAGGACTGTGGACCGTGGTTCCTAGGGTGCTCTTATGGACTACGACTGTGTGCTGGAATGGCAGCTTGAGCAGCAAGGGGCTGCTAAATACCTGAAGTTCTCTGGCAAGGACAGTGTTCCTGTTGGCTGGACTTGGCTTTCCTAGCCTTGCTTTCCCTTTACTGTAGACCTCTTTCATGTTCCTGCCTCCTGATCCGTGTCATGTTGCAAGAAGGAAAATTTGGCTGCTGGTGGAAAGCTGGGGTGGGGTGTTGATCCCGTGATGGTAGATGCTGGCTTCTCTGGCACTCAGGGAGGAAGTATCCCAGGATTGTGTCCTTCAGCCTGACCAGTTGGCAGGCAGGAAGCAATTCTCTCTTTTTACTTTTAAATCATCAAAGGGATGTTAGTTACAGTTGCCAGAAAATGGAAGTTTGTTTCTGTGGGGAAAAGGACTTTGCGAGAATATGTTTGATTGATTACTTATGAAAGTCTTTCGGTCCAGATACTTAACTGCCAATAAATTGTGCTCCACTGACTTTGTGTGCATCAAGGTGTTGTCTAGACAGTTTAAGGCTGTCTTTCTGCTCAGTGGCATGTCAATTCAAGTGGTCCCTAAAACTATTTGTCTGTAAAGAGCTCATGGTTACAGTATTATCTTGTGGCATCAGTTTCATTTTTAAGATATGCACAGGCCATTTAAGCAAGTACCTTTGGGTCCAACCAAAAAAATAATCTCAGAGGGTGTGGCCAGATTACAGAGAACTCCACGAAGACATTCTCCATGCTCTTATGTAAGGAATTCTCCATCCTGGAAATCCAGGTATTTGGAGGAAAAGTAAAAGGCAAGTCACCATTTTCTAAGGTCAGCTGCATATTACTGAGTTCTGTAGACTGTAGACTTGAATTTCTGGTCTTGGTGTACCAGGTACCATTTCTGAGCAGCTGCCTTCATCTCTAGCTGTCCGTATCTTCCTCTCCTTCTCTTCTGCTCTGCTGGCGTGCTGTCTGTGGGCTCAGGGTGTTCATCTGGGTTCAGAAAAACCTCAGTGGGAGTGGAATACACTGGAGGGGAGAGGTGTTACAGTTGGCACCTCCCCCTGCAAGAAATGTACTTGTCAACATTTCCCTAATCTCAACAAGTCCAAGTGCCGCACTAAAGATTAGCGCCAGGTTTAAAGCCTCAAAGGGATTGCTTTGTTTGGGGTTTGGATCCTGGGTCTCCTCACCATTTTTCCACAGTGATTTTGTCTTGGCTACTCTCTATTGTTGTGCCCTGGGTTTACAAGAAACACCAACCAAAATCCTAATTTCCTTTTCTTGTGCAGCCTTTTCAGAGAAGGGTGGGTGGAAACCGGTGTCCCATAATTGATGCTCTGTTTCAAGCATCTCCCGGTGCCCAGCCAAGCAATCCTTTATCTGATTTTCTGTTGGCCAATGAGGTGAGATTTACCTTTCAATTGCTGTGAAAATTTAACTCCTTTCTGTACTTAGACACAGCATACTTGGAGATAAATGAAGAAATTGGGACACAAGGAGCAAGCGTAAGAATATGAAAAGCTCGCTTTTCCTGCTCTTCAGTCCTGCCCTTCCCCCAGGGAGCGTTCCCAGCGAGGCAGCAGAGATCAGAGGAATACAAATTTGAGGTGCCAGCCTGTGCACAACCTGGGAAGCTGGGAGCTGCTGCTACTCCCCACTGCTACCCAGGGTGCTGCTTGAGCAGGCTGAATTTGGGAACCCTTCACCTGTCTCATTTGAGGCTACATGTGGTCGCATGAGGTGCAATGTTCTTTTGCTGTGCTCTTCATGAATGCGTGTGCACATGAATGCACTGCTGGTGTGAGGCTGCTTTTGAGAGAGCTTTTAGGCAAAATTATACCAAAAAGTTCAGTGCATTACAAGAGAATTATTTTCCAGACAAGGTGTCTGAACAGCTATTCCTGTGGTTCAGAGTACTATATATTAAATGTCATGTTTGCAGAAGAATTTTCCATCATCCTAAATTCACCTTGCCCCTTGTATACAGCAGATGGTATCAGTGTCTTACTGACTGAAGGAAAAATTTTGAGAGTAGATAGGTGAGGCCTTGTTACTAATTGAGGGTTTTTTTGTTTGTTTGTTTTAAAGTTATGTGTATTTCATGTAAATGAACAGGCAAACATTTGCAAAACCACTGTTTCTGTTTGGCAAAATGGGACATTTTTAGGGTATGTTTTTGAGAATCTGACAATTTAAGTAGTCTGGAGCATCTTCTATTGTGTCTTACAGAATCTGAATTAGGGATCCTGCAGAATCTGAATTAGGGATCCTGCCGTAGATCCTGTTGTGTGATGATTTTTTAAAATACTTGTTTATTCAGTTAATAAGTGCAGTTGATTTTATTACAGAATTAAGATGCCTCTCTGGCAAAGTTGATGTTGGGCCTTGTGGGAGGAAACCTGAGGAGCATTGATACTATAAGTAACTGTCAAAAATCCCTCTTTCCATCTCTCTCTACTTAGTATTACAACTTCTTATCCTCCAGTTCTCCTTCAGTAAGGTCAGAATAGTCTGCATTTCTGACGATTTTTCTATGTTGTCTTCTCTTAATTAAGGAGTTTTCTTGGTCACAATTTGCAAGTTCATTGCCTTTTGTCTATTTGAGCTACTCTAGAAGACCAGGCATGTTGTACTGATATTAACAGATGGAAAAAAGTTAACATATGAAAAAAAAATAATCCATATCCACTCACATAAATCTATGGAGTTGTACTTTTTCATGTACTGTTTTGTTCACTTCTCTAGTAAGCTGTAGGCTCTGTTGGAAAGGAATCTTGTTCTCTTAATTAGGTATTACTTTAGACAGGGTTAAGTGCTTCTGGAAAGAGTACCAGCAAACAGCTTTCAGAAAGGATTTAAATCCTCAAGCTTTTGTTTTAATGCAGCACAATGACTGTGGCAGGATGTGTGTTAGGATGAAGCTTGCCCTGCAGATGGGTTCAATGAAGCTGTTGGTTTTTTTTCTTTGAAGTAGTATGTGTCTGACTCCTTCCAGAGGAACAGTATTAGCCTGGACAGGTACATCTTGGCTTCTAGGGTGTTTCTGACCTTCCTAACAATCTCAAAAATCTTGGATACAGCTAACAAATCTGTGTCTCACTTTTAGCTATCTATAGCAAATACAGTAGGTGTAGTGTGGTCATGCCAGGATAAACCTGTGGGAAAATGTTATTGTTTTCTGAACAAGCTGCAAGGAACAGAGTCTCGAATTACTGTAATTGAATCTTGTATCTTGCAGTTCTGGAAAGCTTATCAGGGGAGAAAAAGGGATAACTGATATGGGTGACTGCAGAACCTGTTTCTGTAGGATCCTTTCCAGGTTTGATTTTGGTGGCCTCTTTGTGTAGCAAAAATAAACTGATCAAACAGGGTGAAAAAAAAGTTAAAATACCATTTCTACCAATGATCCTCAAGAGCTTAATGTAATGAAGTGATAACCTGATGCTCCATTTGATGTCCTAGTAATACGTATCTCCAGAAATTGCCATGTATTATTGAAGGTTGTGTTTGGGCTCTGTATACACCAAGGTGGTAAGTCATATTTAAAATACTATTTTAAGGATTTATTTTTAACCTTGCAACCTTTATTTGAACTACTGGCATCTCTCTGACTAAGAGGTATTAGCATTATTGAACAAAAATGTTATTAATGTTTTCCCTTGTGTTTGAATAGACAGCTTTATAGTCTTAAGTAGAATGAATTTCTGTGGAGTATGGATCATTTAGGATTTGAAATGGCCCTGCTCAGCAAATTGTCACTGACTTCTATTACTATTATTGTTATTGCTATGATGATGTTACTGCTACCTCCTCTTAATGTGCTTTCACTTGAATCTTAACAGCTCAGACTGCCTTTGGGTGCTCTTCATGTTTGGATTCAGTCTGTTCTCTAGCAGTTAAAATGTATACCTGCTTCCAAAAGTTTTTCCTTTTCAAAATCCTACCTAGGAAAGACTCCTTCTGTCTAAAGGCTGAGAGTTTATTCACAGCTTAACCTCTTGCAAACTGTTGGTGTTCAAAATTAATTACAGAATAAACATTGAACTTGTTTTCTTTCTTATTGACAGGAGGAGTCTCGTATCCTCAGGGTGAAGGTGGTTTCTGGCATTGATCTAGCGAAAAAAGACATCTTCGGAGCCAGGTGGGTGTTCTGCTGTGACTGGTTTGTGTGTTTAAACAGAAGAAACTAACAGAGCAAGGACGTGTTACAACGAATTGCTCAGAAACTTGATGAGAGAGCCTGTTACCTTATTACAACTGATACAAACTGGGGGCTGTGTGTTGGCAGGAAAGCCACTGATCACCTCTCCCACCACAGGAAGCCCTTCCCCAGTTCACCCTCGACTGCCTTAGGTTTGCAAGCGTGTGAGGAGCAGCTGGAACTCTGGCAGCATTTGACAATACTTGAGACAACTCCCAGCTGTCTTCCCAGATGCCCCACGTGTTGCAAGGAAGACCATAGGCAGCAGTACCCTCTCTCTACCTCCCTTTGAGGGAGCTTTGCTTCCCCTGCTGGCTTTCGGGTCTCTGGGGTTCCAGGTGCCCAAGACTGACCCAGTAGCCAGGCTGTGAGTTGTCTTGGTCTTGGCCATATCCAGGTGCCGTTGTTGCAGTTCCAAAGGATGGTGCCTTATAATCACAGAGAGAATATGTCAAGGTGCAAGAGAACCCTAAGGATCATCGAGTGCACCTTTTAGAGAGAAAAGGCAGCAAGAGCATTCTCTCCTGTTCTGCCTGTTCCATGAGCAGGCTTTAGCAATGCAGATTGTAGAGAAGAGCTCAGAGGGAGCTGTGCTGAGTTCCTGCCTTTGTCTTAGGCTATGGTAAACCTGCGTTTTGATTGCAGGTGAGCTTTGAACCACCTTGAGCTTTCACTTGGGGACTTGAGAGGGAAAAGAGGTGTTTTTGGAGTGTGTAAGGCAGTGATTGCTTCCCTGTTCATTTCTGTATGCCAAGGTGGAGCAAACAGACCATGGCTTGCACTGATCTTTGGCCAAATTAACTGGTTTTAAATGGCCAAATGGGAAGATACAGATGCAGTCACTTTATATGTTCTCAAGTGTTTTGTTTTAAAAGAATTAGTTGCAGGAGTAGCTTTTCTCCAAGTCTAGGCTTGCTGTGCAATGCCTTAAAGAATCCAATGAGGTAGTAAATGGAGGAGAAGCTGGTTCTGAAACCAAAACAACTGACAAACATTAATATTTTCATTTCCAAAGGTTAATTCAGGTTTGACATTCTTGCTGTCTCAGTCCCTGAGTGAGGGAATTCTGTGCTGCAAATGCTGCAATCTGCTTAGAAGTTCATTATCTGTGAGAAGTTAGTGGCCTCCAATTTAGCTGTTATTGAAATGACTGATTTCTTAATGTATAATTGAGCCTCCCTGTGGATTTTCCTGTATTTCTTTAATGACGCTTACAAATTGTTCATTAGCTTTCATATCCAGCTTAGAAATACATGAAAGCAGCAATTAAAAGTTTCATCAACTTCAGGATTTTTAAATGAAATTTGCAACAAGTGTTCCTCTGTAGCTGTGTGCAGCATATGGTAAGAGAAAGGTTTTTTAGGGTCTTTCCCCAGATGAGCTAACTTTAGCTTTGGGTGCTGACCATGCGCAGCTCACATGGGGGTGTGGCTGGGCACATAGTTGGTGCTGAGGAGATCTGTGCACCGCCCCATGTGCTGTGCTCGCCACAGCACTGGCAGCTCCCTCAGGCTCCTGCAGGTGGCCCTAAGGTGCTGCAGGACCAGAATAAAAGAGAGGAGAAGCAAATTCTGGGGAAGAGGCGGGACTAAGGCACAGAGAAAACAAGATTTCTATTGCAAATACTAACCCTAGAATTGCCGTACTTAGGTGCTAAGTTTCTTTTTCTAGGTCCTGTGTAATTTGGCCTTTTCCTATGATAGCAGATTTTTTGTTTGCCTGCTATATTTAATGGGCTGGATTTTATTTCTACAGTATATCCAGAGCCTTACGTTTTACCACTTCTTTTGGAAAAAGCAAGGCTAGTGGTTGGAATATTGAATCTGCTCGTGAAGAGGAACTTCATAGGAATATTGAAGTGTGGTGGTAAATTCACAGAAGTAATCTGAGAGAAGTGGGAATCTCTTTAGCCTTCATTTGATTTACTGAGGAATACATTGGAAACTTTGGAGCTGATTCCTCCCCAGCATTGTGGTATCTCCTTCATTCTTCTCACATTTTTCTCACAGAACTTTAGTAAATACTTAAGATGTTGTATTTAAAAGAAATGCAAAAATTTGCTTAGGAATTGGTAACTTGTAAAAATATCTTTTATCTTTCAGAATGCGTAAAGGTAAAGCTAAGTGAAATTTGAACTGAGTTCTATTGATGAGGTCCTTAAATATTTAAATAAATTAGTCTCAAGCCAGTAGGATTTCCATAAAAACAGAGAGTTAAACACATACTCCCAACTTAAGTTTTTAAATTTGTTTTAAACAGTTTTTCAGTAAAAGTTGAGACTAACAGCATCATTTATTATAAACTTAGTGAAAGGCATGTATTGCTGCATTGGCAGACTTTCAGAAAGCTTTATTTTCTGGCTGAAGTTCAATTTAATTTTTCTGTCTGTTGTAGGGGCCTTGCATGCCTTGCTGAGATATTAACATTTCCTGCTGCTGGAATCTTAAGCATGATTTAAGTTGCTACAGAGAGTATCATTCTAACTGCTGTCCAGTGTATGTGGTGTAGGAGCCATCCCATTGACAGCTCTGTTGAGGATCAGCATAGAGTAGAGGATTAAATTCTCACTTGGGGCTTTTGAGGAAAAACATGTCATGTTTGACCTAAGCAAGAGGATAAGGAAAACTTACAGACCTTAGAGCTGTACACATAGGATTTTACTCTGTAGCGTATGTTCAGGATCCCTAAAACATAGCAAAAGTTAATCCTGTCTGTGCCTTTCCTTCTTGTGGTGTGGAGGTAGGCTCTGGCACTCCGTTTTTTCCCTATCCCATAAATAATTTCCATGAGATCACAGAACTTTCAGGGTGGTTTTGTGGTGGTGTCCCTTAGCACTCAGATCAGTGCCTGGAGTGAAGGTAAACGGTGTGATTCTGAAAGCAGAGGGTGCTCGCTGCTCTGCACAGCTCCGCACCATGAGTGGGCTCTGTCTTTGGAAGCGTGCAGAGAAACAGGCCTTGCTGTGGAAAACAAACACTTGAGAACAGAGGAAAAGGCCTTGTGATTCACCCATGTAGGTTTGGGCAGGGCTGAGCTGTGAGCTGCACCGTGTGTTTGCTGCTGTCAGGGCACAGAGAAGTCTCAGCACCCAGAGGCACAGCAGCGTGGCTGAGGGTTTTCTCGTGGTGTCCTCGTGCTGTGAAACGTGGAGATTTCTGCACCTTGCTCCCAACACACACTGCTGGATTATGGACAAGTACAGTTTTGTTTTGTCTCTTTTCAGAAATGAAATCAAGCATTGAGGACAAATTCCTGATTTTCGCAGCATCCTTTTTGGGAGAAAGAAGGTCAAGCGGTTGCTAAATATTTTTGATAGTTGCACACTTCAGAAGGAGTTACCCTGAAGTGGTTTGCAGGCATGTTAGAATTGCAAAGTGAGGGCCCCTTTGAGGCTGGTGTGCCTCTTCATGGCAGTCTGCAGGGCTTAGCACTGGGGCTGAGCTGTGAAAGATTAACTACAAGGCACACATTGTGGTTTGCATCTCAGCGGGTTCTCCTCACCGTTTTTAATCAACTTTGCCATTATAAAACACTGCCTGTAGGCTTGCTTGCAGAGTCTGAGAGCCATTTCTTGCCTGATTAAATCCAGGGAAGGTCCCTTACCATGTAGAGCACTGCAGAAATTACTGTTTTTCTTCTGAAGACTCTAACAATACAGAAACTCTACAGTTCTGGTTTAGCTTTTTTGAAGTTCTTTTTGGCTTATGAGATCATTTTTATGGTAAATAATGATACACAAGAGTTGAGAAATGTATAGTATTGTGTTGACAATAACACGAAGTGTACTAGAATATAGAATGAAACAGCAGCCCTGAGCAAGCCCAGGTGATGGTTGAACATAGTGAATTTCATCTATGTGGTCTTAGGTGAGGTGGCTATCAGTGGCTGGTTGGTGTAAATATAAGTGTTTTTTTAATAATCTCTTATGTTTTAGCATATGGAATTACAACTCTTTGATACATACAGATGGCTAGGTACTGCAAACTGGAGTTTTGTTAATTTAATATTAAATTTTCATGCCTAACTCTGAAAGACACACTGCCTATATTGGCACACATTTACCACCTGACATACGCTGTATTATAATATATACCTTATTCTTTTATATTTATTTCCTTTCAATGTCTTCTCAAGAGTCTTGAATGTAATGTCTTAATGAAATGAATTAGCTAGTATTTGTATTCTTGTATGTAACTAAGTAATGTGAAATTATAATGTAAATAATCTTAGTTATGCAACATACTGAACAATTATTATTTCTTACTGTTTTGGTTTTACTCGTGTATTGGGAATGATGCTGCATCACAGACTGGCTGCACTGTGCAAGTCCCTGCATGCAAATGGACTGGCTGCCCACAGAACCTTGGAATGCAAAATGAAATTTCCTCTCCTGAATATCTTTATGCTTCGAGCACTGGGGTCAGTTCTGGGCCCCTCACTGTAAGAAAGACATTGAGGGGCTGGAGTGTCCAGAGAAGGGCAACCAAGCTGGGGGAGGGTCTGGAGAACAAGTCATACGAGGAAAGGCTGAGGGAGCTAAGGATGTGCAGTTTGGAGAAGAGGAGGCTGAGGGGGAGACCTCATTGCTCTCTACACCTGCCTGAAAGGAGGTTGTAGGGAGGTGAGTGTTGGCCTCTTCTCTCAAGTGAGTAACAAGACCAGAGGAAATGGCCTGAAGTTGCAGCAGTGGAGGTTCAGATTGGATATTAGGAAGAATTTCCATACTGAAAGAGCAGTCTGGATGGGACAGGCTGCCCAGGGAGGTGGTGGAGTCACCATCCCTGGAGGCATTCAAGAAATGTGTAGATGTGGCACTTCAGGGCTTGCTCTGCTGGCCCAGGTTGTGGGGGATTTTTGATGGGTGTTTTTTTTGATGGAGTGTTTGTGATTGTTTGTAGGGTTTTTTGTGTGGATGGTTGGACTCTGTGACAACAGAAGTC